TAATATAAGGCCTCTTACTTGGCTGGAGCATTGGACTAGACCAGGGGTAGGCAACCTTGGCTCTTTTATGACTCGTGGACTTCAACTCCCAGAATTCCTGAGCCAGCATGGCTCAGCTTGGAAACCTTTCCCTTTCCCCTCAGCATGGCTGGCTCAGGAATTCTGGGAGTTGAAGTCCACCAGTCATAAAAGAACCAAGATTGCCTACCCCTGGACTAGAAGACCTCCAAGGTCCCTCCCAACCCTATTCTATGTTGTAATGTTTTAGCACAGGAAGATGCGGTGATTGGCACAAGTTACTTACAAGTTGGAACTTGGTTTACACTGGCTTGCCTTTCTTGCAAGCGTCCCTTGTCATCCACACACCAACAGTTGCGAAGATCAAAATGGCCCAAGGGGATACTATAATCACTGTAAGACCCTGGATAATGGTTAAGGCGACCTTGAAGAAGCTGCCAAAAAGTGAATGGGTCCAGTAAAGCGTTCTCAGATATCTGTAATGTATTGCCCTTCAGCAGATCTTGAGGAACAGCTTCGAAAGATGAGTATCTGAAGAATTCTGGGAAAACATTCTGGTGGCCAGCTGTGTAGAGAATTTTGATAAAATCTTCAAAGCTTTGCTGGGATCTTGCCTTGTAGTCGAGGAGTATGTTTGCCAAGTCAGGGATAGCGAGCACATTGTTATTATTGTTCTGGGTATTCCACCTTTGATACCACTCAAAAGCTTGTTCAGGTGGACCATTGCACTGGATTGGCCTCCACTGTCCATCAAGACTGCACTGAGGCACGTAAACGTTGGACAGTTGAGTCAGAGCAGTGGGATTCAATAGAAACTGCTGAGCAGATCTCAGAAAAGCTTGACCAGCTGCAAGATGACAGTCACTTGGACCTAAGAAAGAACCAACTTGATAAATACAAAGTCACTACCGTATTTCCCCGAAAATAAGACCCAGTCTTATATTTTATTGTTTTTCCCTCCCAAAAAAAGGCAGTAGGTCTTATTTTCGGGTGATACCTTTTTTCCCGATACTTGCCTTGCCTTGCAGCAGCGAATCGCTCAGTTTCCAAGCACCCCAGAGGCGCCCAAACACTTCCCCCCCCACCTCTGCCACTGTGCGCGGACCTACCTGCTCTGCGCCAAGTGGCCGGCAGTCTGAAGCTACTGCCAGACACCGTCAGCCCCCATGTGCTTGCTGCCGCTTGTGCTGGCCATGCCCCTTGGCTTATATTTGGGATAGGGCTTATATTAAACCTACCCTAAAAAATCAGGCTAGGGCAGGGGTAGGCAACCTTGGCTCTTTTATGACTCGTGGACTTCAACTCCCAGAATTCCTGAGCCAGCATGACTCAGCTTGGAAACCTCTCCCTTTCCCCTCAGCATGGCTGGCTCAGGAATTCTGGGAGTTGAAGTCCATGAGTCATAAAAGAGCCAAGGTTGCCTACCCCTGACCTAGGCCCCTTCATGACTCGTAGACTTCAACTCCCAGAATTCCTGAGCCAGCATGGGGGAACAATGGCCCCTTCGTGACTCGTGGACTTCAACTCCCATAATTCCTGAGCCAGCATGGCTCAGCTTGGAAACCTCTCCCTTTCCCCTCAGCATGGCTGGCTCAGGAATTCTGGGAGTTGAAGTCCACGAGTCATAAAAGAGCCAAGGTTGCCTACCCCTGGGCTAGGTCTTATTTTCAGGGTGGGTCTTATTTTCGGGAAAACCCGGTAGAATCGGTGTTTAAGATTTTCACTCTAGCACAAGAATAACTGAAACGTCTGGGTTTAATTCATTTTAATTAATTTAATTAATGGCTGAGCTAAATTTCAGATTCCATTTTAAATCTTAACGGGCTTAAAAGATAGACCTGGTCAACTGGATAGAAGATCTAAACTTGAAAGAAAATAAATGTGACATGACAGTGCTTATATTAAATGCATTGGTACAAATTATGTCTTCGGACAGCAAACATGACTGCCAAGCGAGTACTGGAGGGCATCACACCAGATATGTCGCTGGAAGGCAAAAACACAAAACTGTGTCTTCTTTATTTTGGCCATGTCATGCAGGGGCAGTTCTCTGGTGGAAGCAATTCAGCTTGGAAGAGTTGGCGGAAAAAGGAAACCAGGTGGCTGGGCACCATCAAAGCTGACACCAGCCAGAGCACAGAAAAACTCATAGAAGTGATTATGAGATAGATGCAAGCATAAGGCATTATACAATTATACAAGGCATAATTGTAGAAGCATTTCCTTTTTCTCAAATCCACATGAAAATGGTTGATATTTATGACAGTTGTGGTGTCCCGGGGTACGGTATCACCTTTTGTGATCTTCTGGTAAGCAAAGTCAGTGGGAAAGCCAAATTCATTTAAGAACTTATTTACTGAATATAAGTAATTTATTATATTAACTTAATATAAAAGAGCCCTGGTGGCACAGTGGTTAAAGCACAGTATTGCAGGCTGACTCTGCCCGCAGCTTGGAGTTCGATCTTGACAGGCTCAAGGATGACTCAGCCTTTCATCCTTCCGAGGTCGGTAAAATGGGGACCCAGATTGTTGACTCTGTAAACTACCCAGAGAGAGCTGTAAAGCGTTATGGGGTAGTATACAAGTCTAAGTGCTATTGCTGTATGTTGGGGACACTAAAAACAGAAAAGTGAGAGTTATTTGAAGATGAGTAGGCATGCAAGTAAGAAATCTATTTTCCTAGCCAAGAGTTCATATGCTGTTAGTCTCATTCAGTTGCCATCTTATAGGCAGGTGCTACAAAAAAATCAACACCAATGTTTCCACTTTTAAAGAAACCAAATTTGGGGATTTGAGTGGGTTTCTCAGAGAGAGAAAGAGAGAGCATAGATGTTGTCTAGACCTAGTAGACTTTTATGAAGTTCTTCCATGACTAGCTTTACATTCTAAGCTCTATGTATTCACATCTTCCGCATCACTCAACACCAGGAGCATCTCACACACAAAAAAACACCCCAAAATAATCATGTGAACATGTGGAACTTACATTGTATGGGGTCTCCAGAATTGGTACTTATTGCTGGAACAGGTATGCCGTCTGAATTGACACAGAAACAGTGTTTTCCATGACACTGGACTGGCAGGAATTTCCCTTCTTTGGTGCATGAAGGAACAAACATCTCAGATCCTGCAGGCTGGTCTCTTATTAAGAGTTGCAAACTGGCCCTTTGCTTTTCACACACTGTAGGACACCGTGGGTTTGTCCCTCGCACTCTGGATCTGGGGATTTCTTTCCCCCTTAAATCTACGCACCAACACTCCCCTCTATTACATTGGATCTCCTTGTAGTTCCCATCTATAGTACAGTCAGGGACGAAGACATCTTTGTCCTCTTCTGTGCAGTCTCTTGCTTTCAACAGAATCCTCACCACATTGCCTAAATCTTTGGTGACACTTTCTGGGACAGAAATCACATGCTTCAGAAAGCTGAAAAACTCCGGGGCTTCAAGAAGAGAAGCAAGGAATTGGATGGCATTCTGATTGTCCTCTAAACTGACCTTACGGCCAAAGCTGTCAACAAGAGATTGGCTCAGATTAAATTTCTCCTGGGAGCTTCCCTGCAAAAGTTGACCAGCCATTTCACCGAATCCACTCCTCATCCCAACCTGCTGGAAATATTTATCCAGATTAAATTTGCTGTTTGGACCAAGAGCTCCTGTAAAGTTAAACTGGACCAGATTCTTCAAGAACATTCCACCGAAAAGGTTTTCTTGGAATCGCTTGGGGTTGCTGGTGAACCGCAGGGCAATCTGAGCAAGTTCTCGTGAAGGAAACATCCCACCAACGGCTTCACCAAGGAGGGTTTCAAATGTGAGGAGATGAACAGCACTGGTTTTTCCTGAGGTGGAAGACAGCACTGTGGAACCCACAAAAAAGTCTCTGAATGAAAAAGGACAAAATCTCAAGGAGCCAACTAATTTCTGTGGCTCTGGAGTAGCAGAAAACAGATTGTTATGGCTGAAATGACCAACGGGGCCATAGAAAAGCCTGGATAGAGATACTAGTCTCTCAGAGACACAGTTGGGCTCCTTGCCTAGACAAAGGAAAAGATAAGAGGTGATTAATTATTATGAAGAACACAAGAAGAGGCTTGAGACTGGTTCAGGCCAAGGTTCATCTAGACCAGGAGTAGGCAACCTTGGCTCTTTTATGACTTGTGGACTTCAACTCCCAGAATTCCTGAGTCAGCCATGCTGACTCAGGAATTCTGGGAGTTGAAGTCCACAAGTCATAAAAGAGCCAAGGTTGCCTACCCCTGATCTAGACCAGCATTTGATATCACATAGTGACCAAGAAGATGCATCCAAAAAGTTCACTAGCAAGAATGTCAGGTGCAAAAAAATCAGGACCATATGTTAAGTTGCAGTTAAGAAGATTTATTTCTCAAGCCTGTAGACGAGAATCTATTCAGCTAAAGTCCAGTGCTAAATTGGCACTAGATAAGGGCTAATGGAATTGGGGGGTTGGACTTAGACCATTTGTGGGACCGTAATGACGCTAGGCTGATGACTCATTTAACTCCACCCCCAGCTCTGTCTGCTCATCTCCTACAATGAAACTTCTTTCAATTGATGCTGCCCATACCTGATATTTAAAGTATATTACTTGTGATCAAGGAGGCAATGAGCATTAAAATTAACAGCTATTGGTGACCTATCCTCCTTGAATTTATTTTGCTTCCTTTAAAAACCATCTAAACTGGAAGTCATCCCCAAAAGATGGTTCAAAATTCCATAAATTAAATCGATGTGGTATCCAGAACAGCTTTCCTTTCTTGGATTTTTGTTTCAATAGTCTCATCAACATAATGGAAAAAGGGGGGGGAGTTTATTTCCTTATATTTTAAGAATATCTCTGCTGGATCATGCCAAGATACAGCATTTGTTTATCACTGGGATTATTTAGATGTTTCTGGGAAATTCACAAATTCACTGCTATTCCATTGCAACTGATATTTGGAGGAATTTTTTCTAGTTTTGACATAACATAAAGCTAGGAATGAAAATCCTTGATGACCGTGTTTCTGGGTTGACCTACCACAGATCGGTTGCTGTCCTCTCCTTCTTGTTCCAGGGATCTCCTGTCCTCTGCTGTCGACACACCAACATTCTCCATTCAGTTGACATTGTGTTGGCTTGTAGGCACCAATCTCTTCACAAAATGGTTTATAATCCTCCTCAAAATGAGTGGCCGTGAAATATTCTATTTCACACTTAGAGGGGCCTTCAAAAGAAAAGAATTACAGAGTATAACAGCACAGGTTTTCATTCACATGTACATTTGTTCCAGTGTCTGGCAAATATCCTGAAAAAAAACAGTCTAATGGAAAAATTCAGGAAATAGAAGACTCAAACAAGTGGACTACTGAAGGATTTTAATTGCATGGGTATTGATTTGGCTCTGCTCTGCATTCTGCATTTTTACTGTAGATAGATGATAGATAGATAGATAGATAGATAGATAGATAGATAGATAGATAGATAGATAGATAGATAGATAGATAGATAGATAGATAGATAGATAGATGGATGGATGGATGGATGGATGGATGGATGGATGGATGGATGGATGGATGGATGGATGGATGGATGGATGGATGGATGGATGGATGGATGGATGGATGGATGGATGGATATAGATGATGTAGATATAGATATAGATATAAATGTACCAATAAATCAATAAAAATAAGAATAATCCTCTGTTCAACTACTATGAATGGAATAGAAGTTGGGAGGAGAAAAACCATCTCATCTCACAAAGAACAATACAGGTAGTCCTTGACTTATGACCACAATTGAGCCCAAAATTTCCATTGCTAAGCAAGACATTTGCTAAGTGAGTTTTGCCTCATTTTACAACCTTTATTGCCACAGTTGTTAAGTGAATCACTGCAGTTGTTAAGTTAGTGACACGGTTGTAAAATGAAGGCGGCTTCCCTATTGACTTTACTTGTCAGAAAGTTGCAAAAGGGGATCACATGATCCTGGGACACTGCAACAGTCATAAGTATGAGCCAGTTGCCAAGCGTCCGAATTTATCAGGTGACCGTGGGGATGTTGCAATGGTTGTAAGTGTAAAAACCAGTCATAAGTCATAAAACAGTCATAGGCACGGCCAGAAAACTAGATACAAGGACAGTTTTTCCCCCCATGCCGTCAGTCTGCTAAACAACTAATTCTTACAACACTGTCAAAATACTTAGTAAAGCTTTATTGCTATCATTCTCCTCATCTTTCTTATTACCTATCCTTATCTTCTTATGACTATAACTTTGTTTCCTTGTATCTTACAATTTATACTGTTTTATTTAGTATCCTAGTATGATTTATGTTGTTTGCTTAGCTAGTGTCCTATGACTATCACTGTTGCATCTAATGATTTATGGTGAATGTTTTTTTATATTGATTATGATCATGATTTAACACTATTGCTTGCACGTACACAGAGGGTTTATGCACCGGAGACAAATTCCTTGTGTGCCCAACCACATTTCGCCAATAAAGAATTTTGTTTTTTTTTTCAGTGCCGTTGAAACTTCGAATGGTGACTAAGCTAATGGTTGTAAGTAGAGGATTAACTGTAGATGTTGACCTGCCTTCTCTGGATCTCCTTTATCTAAACCCACAGAACAGTATTCTACGTACATCTGAATCTGCCAGTAGTTGCTAGTTGTACCCCCAGGAAACGTCTCTGTAGGATCCTATACATGCTACTTTCAGCAAAGGTGGGAACCGGTTCCAGCGATGCAAAAACGGTGTCATACACATTTTCAAGCAACATTTCCAGACCTGGGAAAGAAAAAAACATTTTAGTACAGTATCTTTATATATATATTTCTTCTCTGTTTCCCTTAACATTTGCTATATTGTATTTAAGCTAGTAAATTTCTAATTGTATCAAACTCAGTGAAAACTTCATTATCACATTTATCAATACATTTTTTGCTTATACATATCTTAATAGATCTTCATAAACAATCCACATCCTGTTATTAAGTTTTACCTAATTTTTAGTTCTTAATTACAATACTCCAATTTAACTTCTACTATCCATAGTATCTGAGTTTTGGGTAACCCAAATTTCCTTTGTCTCACTTCATAAAAATTATAATATCTAAAATGCACACATTACTTACTTAAATATATTCTTATTCTATTTCGTAAACATTTTCTTCTTCAACAGAAGCTTCCCCTTCAGCTATTCAAACCTCTTATCTTAATCTGACTAGGATACAGGTAGTCCTCGACTTACAATGGTTCATTTAGTGACCATTCAAGCTTACGACGTCACTAAAAAAGTGACTTATGACCGTTTTTCACACTTACAACCTTTGCAAGCATCCCCATGGTCATGTGATCAGAATCCAGATGCCTGGCAACTGTTTCATATTTATGACCGTTGCAGCATCCTAGGGTCATGTAATCCCCTTCTGACCAACAAATGTCAATGGGGAAGCCAGATTCACTTAACAACCGGGTTGCTAATTTATCAACTGCAGTGATTCGCTTAATAACTGTGGCAAGAAAGGTCATAAAATGGGGCAAAACTCAACTTTAACAAACGTCTCGCCTAACAACAGAACTTTGGGACTCAATTGTGGACGTAAGTCGAGAATTACTTATATATCTAATGGATCCTTGGACAGGAAAGGTGACCAACAAGCAAGTACCGGAGTGCCTAACACCAGATATGTCACTAGAAGGAAACATCACAAAACTGCATCTGTGTGTGTATGGCAGAGGTAGGCAACCTTGGCTCTTTTATGACTCGTGGACTTCAACTCCCAGAATTCCTGAGCCAGCCATGCTGAGAGGGAAGGGAGAGGTTTCCAAGCTGAGCCATGCTGGCTCAGGAATTTTGGGAGTTGAAGTCCACGAGTCATAAAAGAGCCAGGTTTCCTATCATCTAGGCCAGGAGTAGGCAACCTTGGCTCTTTTATGACTCGTGGACTTCAACTCCCAGAATTCCTGAGCCAGCCATGCTGAGGGGAAAGGGAGAGGTTTCCAAGCTGAGCCATGCTGGCTCAGGAATTCTGGGAGTTGAAGTCCACGAGTCATAAAAGAGCCAGGGTTGCCTACCCCTGGTGTAGGGGGAAAGCAATTATGTTGGGAACAGTTAGTGGTAAAAGGAAACCAGGCCGCCAAAGAACAGGGTGGCTGGACACCATTAAAGCGGACACCAGCCAGAGCATAAAACAATTCAAAGAAGCAGAGCAAGATTGGAAGATGTGGAGAGACCTGGCCCATAGAAATTATAAATTGACAATGTCAACTTCATATAAAGAAAATTTATATAAAATGTTTTATAGATGGCACTTGTTTAAAAATATGTCAGATAGATGTTGGAAATGTAAGCATAACTCAGGCACGTATTATCATGTTTGGTGGACATGTGACAAAGCAAAGGCTTATTGGAAAAAGATACATAATTGGTTAGAAAAGATATTGGGAGAACATGTGGATTTTAAACCTAAACTTTTCTTATTAGGTACAATGCCAGAAAAGATTAACAAACAAAGCCTAAATTTGATTCTACACGTCACAACAGCAGCAAGAATAATATTTGCGCAATATTGGAAAAATGAAGAACTACCACCAGAGGAAGAAATAATCCAAAAAATACTGGAATGTGCAGAGATGGACAGATTAACCATGAGATTGAAAGATAAAGAAGAAACAGAATATTATCAAACTTGGGATTTATTTTATCAATGGCTAGAGGAAAGAATGAAGGATTAGGAACTGAATATGTATTAGCGTTTTTAAACTCAGACAGCACGTTGGTTGAAAAATTAATATATGTATGTAAGAGAAAATTAATAAAATCTTTAAAAAAATAGAATCGCCAAGAGTCGGACATGACTGAGTGGATAACATCATCATCATATCAGATGGGGCTATGCAGTCCTTTCAGTTTAATTGCAAAAATGGAGACTCTGTTCCTGGAAGGGCGATGGAAAACATCTGTATTCACCTCTTTAAAGCAGCTGCACAGAACCATCACACAGCCACAATCTCTAAACCTAAATCTACAACCATACCTTTGATATACAGGAAATCCTCGAGTAGAGTAAATTACAGTGAGATTAGGTAGCTTGTGGTTATATTTGGAGAACTGACCCATTGTCTTAACAGGCTATATGAACAAGACCATTGCATTAAGACTTACAACACTTCATTCAGTGACCGTTCAAAGTTACAACAGCACTGAAAAAAAGTGACTTATGACTGTTTTTTCACCCTTACAACGGTTGCTGCATCGTCACAGCTGCCGGATCAAAATTTGGTCTCTTGGCAACTGACTCGTATTTATGACGGTCCCAGAACTGCATTATGTTGCTGGTTCTGCTCATCATTAAACCTTCTTTCCAAACAGCTAGCCTCCATTTTATTTCCAGCAGCCTCCATTTTATTGATTCCCAGCTTGGAACTGGACCTGATTTTTCTTCAAACAACTGTTAAGTTTTCACTTTTAGGAGACTCCTGCAGGTAGACTCACCTGTATCTTCTAGTTCTCTCCCAAGACTGTCTGCACAGTAACAGTATCCGTTGATTTCAGGAAATAAACTTCTGAAGGAACTAAACGTTAAGAATGCTTTGGGAAACCTGAAAGAGAAATCCAGCTGTTAGAAAATTCAGTATATGAGATTTTTCCATGATGTAGCAAGGGACATTGTGGCTACTCCTTTGATATATGATTAGCATATTATTATTTATATTCTCATACTAGCTGTACCCGGTCACACGTTGCTGTGGCTCAGTCTGGTTAAATGGAAAAGAAAGAAAAGAGAAAGCGCACATTTGTAATATGTTTAATTTCACAATGCTAGCGTGTGTTGCTTTTACGTCCAACAGATGGTGCTGTTTTTCAAAAAAAGCATGTTTTTACCTGTCACAGGTGTGACATCTATATAATAGTAGGTATATAAAAACACGTGCCTATTCGAATGCAACGTTGTGTCAAAATTTCAAAGCAATCGGTGAAGAACTTTCGGAGATTTAAGATTTTGAACAAACGAACATTTACATTTTTATTTATATATAGAAGATTATCACTCTACAGACACCAGAGAGTGAAGTTTTCAAGAAACAGCTTTTCAGGCTTCAGAAAGTAACCTGTAATAGTATGCTCTTTGTTTTATTCGCAGATTGTCTTCAACTTATTTTTGAGGGATTGGAAACTGGAAGTGGTAATAACATGGGCCTTAGATCATTATCATTATTAAATATGAGAAAATATCAGCTTTGAATCAGGGTATTTCACTTGACCTGGAACTAGGTTCAGCTCTCCATCCAAACATATCAATGGTCACCACTGATAGCCCAGATTACCTCCACTCATGGTGCTTTTACTAGGGCTAGAATGTCTTCTTGTCTTCCTAAATGGCAGGTGTAGGCACTAAGCATTGCAAAAAGTTCTTCCTACCTGTTAAAATGATGGATAAGATCAAAGACCATCCTATCGGTTGTGTTGACGAACTTGCATTGGACAGGCAGGAATTCTCCATCAGTTGAGCACTGTGGAGGGCTTTTTTCCCCAACGCCATGCAGAACGCGACGGTCTCGAATCTCACACCGGCCAGGACCTGACAAGCAAAAACATTGCATTTATTCTGGCTTCTTGGTTCAAGAATATCAGTTGTCAAATTTTTTCAAAAAACTTTCAGAAGAGCTTTTCCCCCATCCTGTATCCATGGCTCATTCTCATCTTTTTACCAAGCAGATCAACTTTTTCCATCTATTTCTCACTCTCTGATTCTCTAACTTTAAGAAGAGAAAGGATGACTGACAGGTTAAAAAGATAATGATGGGAAGGAAGGGAGGGAGGGAGGGAGGGAGGGAGGGAAGGAAAGAAAGAAAGAAAGAAAGAAAGAAAGAAAGAAAGAAAGAAAGAAAGAAAGAAAGAAAAAAGAAAAAAGAAAAAAAGAAAGAAAGAAAGAAAAAAGAAAGAAAAAGAAAGAAGGAAGGGAGGGAGGGAAGGATGGAGAAAGAAAGAAAGAAAGAAAGAAAGAAAGGAAAGAAAGAAAGAAAGAAAGAAAGAAAGAAAGAAAGAAAGAAAGAAAGAAAGAAGAGATAGATAAACCCCCAAGTGGCCTCAACGGCTCTCTAAAAAAATGCAAAGGACCAGCTGTCTGCAAGGAGTACAAATCTTTCCATTCCCACCATCCAATCAGAGCTGAAGAAGCTTCTTGAATGAGAAGCGAAACGTCTTCAAAGAAAAACAAAGAAATTCCAGTTGCCTCCTGAAAAAAGCACCTTTGGTGACTACATCTCGTTTAAATGCCTAATTATGTTTTGACTAACGACTTACATTGCCTTGGTTTTCCTTTCTGCCTGGTCCCATAAATCTCCATCCCTTCACCGTCGACACACCAGCATTGTACCAGAGCTAAGTCACACTGCACCGGGTCAAAGTCACCTGAATCCAGACACCGTGGGATGTAGGCAGTTTCACTGCTATTGATGTAGCGGCTGACCAGAATTTGCTGCTTTTGAAGCTGGCAGAAGGACAAACCTACAGCAGGAAGAAACATGAGTGCAATTTTCAGCTTTGCTGTATCAGGGCCAAATTCACCTGATATTGATCATCTCCAAATGGTTAAATTGATCATTCTATTCGAAAAGGAGAATATGTTTGAGTATGTTTTTCATTTGGATGCTACTTCTGGATTTTGTGCTTGTGTTGAGTTCAGTTTCCGTTATCAGAATTAAGGAAGTTTAAATTCCACAATACCAAGAGATCCAGACAGAAATATGTTTGTTTTAATCACTCAACCTGTTTGTGCATACATCAACTATTATTCTTTTTAACATCCCACCATACGTCCAAAAATATATCTTGAATGCAGGAAATGAATATATCAGAGAGGTGAGTCTCTCTCTCTCTCTCTCTCTCTCTCTCTCTCTCTCTCTCTCTCTCTCTCTCTCTCTCTCTCTCTCTCTCTCTCTCTCATACACAAACACAAATGCAGACCAGACACCCTACTAAAATTCTTTGTGTTTTGAAACCGAAATTCACAATAAGGAGGAACTTACAAGTCAGAGATGATCCAGACCGCTTAGTGCCTGTGACTTCAATGCCCTTTTCATCTACACACCAGCAGGAAAGACCCTTTCTATCGCACTGTTTTTTCCTGGTGGACAAAATAGTGATTTCCAGCATTATTACGCTTTTTATACATGCGTAAGGTTTACAAACATCCGTAAGAAGCATCACTTATTTTCCAAACATTAGGTCATTTGGTATTGCTTTGATCCCACTTTCCTATGGGCCAAGATAAGTAAGGAAGTGGGTCAGTATCTTTTTGAGCTGATACCTTCCATAAAAATTAGACCAGCATTTTTCAACTTCAGCAGTTTTGAATGTGTGGACTTCAACTCCCAGAAGTCCCCGGCCAGTATGGAGAAACACGCGCTGACAGCCATGTCTGGCTGGGGAATTCTGGGAATTGAAGTCCACACATCTTAAAAGTGGCTGAGATTGAGAAACACTGCATTAAACCATAACTCCTGGAATTGTTAAGTGGCATTGGATTCACTGGTAAGGAATAGGGAGATAGACAAACAGACAGACCTGGAATGGGCAGCATAGCTCAAATTCTACAAAATCCCATATGACAATTTCAAAATCTCATGAGATTTTCTCAAAATGTTTCAGATTTCGCAGGCAGAACCCAAGACCCAAAAAGAAAGATTGTGATACAGTACACATTTCACAATGTTTATCCAACCAGCATTTGCCTTTGAGTCATCTCCTGACATTTTTGTGGCTAATACTATTTTCAGTACTTATCGCTAAGACATTACGCGACTTTCCCAAAGTCTTTCTGTTCTTTTATTATTATTTTTTAAAATGTATTTTGTGAAACTGAAATGTCTTCAGTTTGATTCCTGGTTTATCCAGCGGTAGTAAAAATGTGGCTGGGGAATTCTGGGAGTTGAAGTCCAATCCTCTTGAAGTTGCTAAGGTTGAGAAACACCGGTGTATCGTCTTGATCAGGAGTCTTCAAACTTGGCAACTTTAAGACCTGTGGACTTCAACTCCCAGAATTCCACAACCAGCTTGGCTGGCTGAGGAATTCTGGGAGTTGAAGTCCACAAGTTTTAAAGTGGCCAAGATTGGAGACCCCTGGTTTAATGGATCAACATCACATAAGCTACTCCTGGTTAATATCCAGGTTCTCTAAGGAGGCCACGGTGACAGGCAAACTATGACACTCCCGATTTGCTGAACCAAAATACCCATCTTTCTCCCCTACCATTAACCATTCTTCCAGGAAATTGGAAATTGGAAAGCCAACGTTACCTAAACTGTCCATCTTCTGAGCACTGAGGGATGTAGTCTTCTCCATCATGGAACGCCTTCTCTCTCTGAAGTTCACATGGACGAAGAGGCTGGCTTTCAGCCTCATACTCTACATTCGGAAGAAGGCAAAGTTATTGCAGCAAATTCCTTCTTCATATCCTAACCTCCCTTTGTTCTTTTTCCTTTTTTATCCCAAGGACTTGGGAAAGACAGAGAAGAGCTACAAAGATGATCAGGGGACTGGAGGCTAAAAGATATGAAGAATGGTTGCTAGAATTGGGTATGTCTAGTTCAGGGGTAGGCAACCTCGGCTCTTTTATGACTCATGGACTTCAATTCCCAGAATTCCTGAGTCAGCTGTGCTGACTCAGGAATTCTGGGAGTTGAAGTCCATGAGTCATAAAAGAGCCGAGGTTGCCTACCCCTGGTCTAGTTTAATGAAGAGAAGGACTTGGGGTGACATGATAGCAGTGTTCCAGTATCTCAGGGGTTGCCACCAAGAAGAGGGAGTCAAGCTATTTTCCAAAGCACCTGAAGGAAGAACAAGGAGCAACGGATGGAAACTAACCAAGGAGGGAAGCAACCTAGAACTAAGGAGAAACTTCCTGACAGTTAGAACAACTGATCAGTGGAACAATCTGCCTCCAGAAGCTGTGAATGCTCCAACACTGGAAGCTTTTAAGAAGAGATTGGGCAGCCATTTGTCTGAAATGGTAGAGGGCTGTGTTGTGGGGACACAGGGCAGTACTTTGCACCACTCAGGTGACCCTGAGGACATAGAAAAACTCCAGGAGGCCTCAACGACTCTCTAAAAGAATGCAAATGACCAGCTGTCTGAAAGGAGTATAAATCCTTCCATTCCCCACCATCTAATCAGAGCTGAAGAACCTTCTTAGACGAGAAGCGAAACGTTTTCAAAGAAAAACAAGCAAGTCCAGTTGCCTCCTGAAAAAAAACACCTTTAGGATAACCATGATCCGGATGGCTGAAAATCTCCATAGACATCTCTCAAGTGGGGTATTGTGATATTCTTATATTAACTGGCTCTTTGGGTCTTAATCACAAAACACGCTTACCAAGATGCTGGACCAGATGATAACTATGGTCCTTTCCAATTCTAGGCTTCTATTAGTTTTATTCTAAAAGCAGACACCTGAGAACAAAGAGATTTACCTATTTACTTACCAAAGATGCTGGTCAGTGCTCTATCGGTAAAGCAAAGGCAGGTGATGAAGAGCAAGGCCCTCATTTTGGGATGTAGGAGGATTGTCTCCCTTGCGAGGGAAAGGCATCCAACCTACACTCTGGGGAAGTTCTCGGCCAGTATTTTATAGCTGCTGCTGCCCCTCAAATAACTTTTCACTTATGAAATGGAAGACTGGGCTCTCAAGGGAGTTAGTGACGCAGGCTGTTTCAAGAGCCATTGTGTTGGGTCACGCAATTACCCATTTCAGTGTCTTTGCTTTTTCTTTCTCACTTGCCCTTCTAAAGGTGAGATAGAAATAAATTTAAAAAAAAAACCAGGTGGCATAAAGGCAGTCCTCGACTTACAACAATTGAGTCCAAAATTTTCCATTGCGAAGCAAGATCGTTGTGAAGAGGGTTGAACCATTTTACGACTTTTCTTGCTACAGTTGTTCAATAAATCGCTGCAGTTGCTCAATTAGTAACACAGTTGTTAAGTAAATCCGGCTGACCCATTGACTGTGCTTGTCTCAAGGTTATAAAAGAGGATCACATGATCCCGGGACATTGCAACCGTCCTAAGTACATGACAGTTGCCAAGCATCTGAATTTTGATCATGTGACCCTGGGGATGCTGCAGTGGTCGTAAGTGTGACAAATGGTCCAGAGTCACATTTTTTTCAGTGTTATTGTAACTTTGAACAGTCACTAAATGAATGGTGTAAGTTAAGGACTACCTACACATATGAAACCAACAAATGCATATTTACCTATATAAGCACGAGCATGCCTACCTTATCTATAAGAAGAGTGGCAGAACCTGGGGGCGGAGTTAAACAAGGGATTAGTCTAGAATCCCTACATAGCCACAAGCAAACTAAGTTCAACCTCCCTTGAATTCCATGGACCCCTATCTAACTCCAAGCAGGTGCTCACCTTTGTTTGAGAAGATTCCTGTGCATAGGCATAATTAGCAATAAATCATTATAATTAGATCTTCATGTGTGGACCTGATCTTTAGTACCAGACACTATCTGACCTGGTAGGATGGGTAGATGTCCTTACGGGAAGGCAGTCCTGCAGGTAACCTGGCCCTGTGCCATATGCTTTAAAGGCAATGGCCAGCTCCTTGGAATTCCGTGCAGCTCATGCAATAGAGGTGTTACATGGCAAACCTAGGGGGGGCATTACTGTGCACACTGGTGCATTCTAGATTAGTTGAAGTTTCCAGGAGGTCTTCAAGGGCAGGCCCTATGTAGAGCGCATTGCAGTAAATTAAGATGGGAGATGATCAAGGCATGTGCGACGGTGAGCAAGGTCTTCTGTAAATGACAATACTGTCGGCTAATTGATAAGCAGATCATAACCTTCAGTTAAATTATGCTCAGTATTCGGAAGAAACTAATATATAGTCTCCTGTGTGAACGTCCCTTTAAACAAAAGCACCTGATCACCTGAGAGTGGATGATTGGTTTTTTATATATATCTTGATCTTCTGAAGTCCAACAAAGTGCAGGTAAACTAGTCAAGTCCAGTTTCTTTGTATTACATTTGCTTTTGAGTAGCTGTTTACACTAATGCAATACACACAGACAAATGGAATTATTATTTCTATGCGTGCAGATTTCTTCAGGGATGTGTACGCCAATCAGCCACAGCGATTACAAGTTCTAGGTGTGGGTTACAGGCAGCCCTCCAATTATCACCTACCCATCGTTAAGCCGTCCAGAGTTACCTTGACGTAGGATGGGTGGCCAATAAATGTTACAAATAAATTAAATACTTCGAAAGGGGACTTACAACCCAGATCTGATTTTCTGGTGGTCAGGCAGTCTCTTGCCGTCATGTGACCACACTTCAGGTGCTCCGCAACATAACCGCATTTATGGCCAATTGCAACACCCCGCAAGCACATTTTATTTATTTATTTATTTATTTATTTTATTTGATTAAATTTATATACCGCCCTTCTCCCGGAGGACTCAGGGCGGTGCACAGCATATTAAAACAAATAACAATAAAATACCAGAATAAAAACCCCTCTAAGACCAAATTAAAAGCCAAATATTAGTAGCTGTGTAATAATTAAAATTATTAAAATCATCCCTAACTAAAATCCACCCTAGG